CCCAAGCTAGAGTCTGCCATTCCTTGTTACTCACCTTAATGATCGATTGAACTCACAGGGCATATCTGCTGCCAAGTACATATACAGTTGCTCTTCAAAACACTTAGTAGCAGTCAGAGTAGGCTGAGACCGTTCGAATTACAGTGGCGCCAGAGAATATGTTTTTAGTAATCTACTCATTATAAGCTTAAACCCAGGGAAGATATTGATTGAACTTTGGTTTCCTGTGAATAAAAACCCTCTCTTGCCAAGTGGCTCTCTTTTGACAAATGTGGGAGGAAGATAAAATGCACAGTTTTGACGCAGTGCTACAGGGAATACTTGCTCTTCCATGAGCATTCAGAATGTCTAATCGCTTCCAGGTTGAGATTTTCTCCATGAAGATCTCCAGAAAAACAGCAGAGAATTCCCTTCGAGTTTTCAGTAATTTTCCATAAATATTTCCTTTTAAGTTTATCCAGGTCCTTAACAAATGGCCCTAGATAAAAATGTAAATAGAGAAAATATTTCTGTTGAACTTAACAGTCCTTTAGTACAAAGGAAAGAGTTTAAATTTATGCTGCTCATAAACCAGTATGGAAAAGACAGTTATTCCAGAAGTGAAGGAAGTACTGCAGCGAAAGCGATACACATCTGAATTTGCTTTATTAGGCCCTCTTATTTTGCCAGTCACCTCCTATGAAAAAAAAAAAAAAAAAGAAAAAAGAAAAAAGTGATGGTAGATAAAGCTGCTAAAAGCTACTGATCTTTAATTCTGAGATTCTCATGCACACTCATACTGTTACTACACAGCCATATCACAGAGAAATAAAAGCCAATGAATTGCAGTGAATGGCAACATCTTGCTTAGAAAGGTAGAGGAAGGTGAAGAGAGCAAGGGATGTAAGTCGTTTGGGAGCCAGTTTCCACTGTCAAACATGTGAGCCACAGCTCTTGCCTTTTCTCTGGAGCTCTTCAAAAAGAATTCCTTTGGATGCAGTTAACAGGCTCAGCCTCCTAGCAGGAATGAGCTATGGTGCAGCACTATCATCTGCTCTTGGACAGCAGACCTTCAACATGTCCTTGCTGGGCAGACCCCACTCTGTGCAGAGGGGCCATCCTCACTGCTTTCAGGATGAAGCAGTGAAATTATTAGATGTTCTGTTTATTCATGCTGTGGGTTTTTTTTTTGTTTCAAAAGCACCAGATTGGAACTGAGATTTATTCTTTCCTCCTTTTGCAACACTTGAAATCCCTGCTTATCCAAAAAGTGTAACTCTAGTGCTCCCAGATATTCAAGTAGAGGTAAGGGTCACCAGCCAGAGTTCCTGGAAGAAAGCCCCAAATGTGAATAAATGCTGAATATTGAATGATTAGTAGATGCAGCAAGGAAAAAAAAAAAAAAAAGGCCTAATTTGCCTAATTATTAGCATGCTTGGGGTGGATTTTCAGCATCTCTTAATGAAAGATGCAGCAATCCATCCATGCCATAGTATGTACATATCAGTGGTCTCAGCTAGAGACTTAATAACCTAGCAGCAGGACACAAAAAAGAGAGTGCAAATGCTCCCACTGTGAGGAGCTTTTCCACAAAAAAGGAATGCTCCCACAGCAGTTCGTTCCAGTGTTGGTACAGGACTCATTCTTCAACAGCCTGGTTCTCTTTTAAAATACTGGTGTCTGTTCCTCAGGCTCTGCTAAGATTAATTAGGTAACTGTTAGTGTCCCTTCTCCTTTAAGAAGAACAAATCAAAAGCATACGTCTGTCTCACTTAAGTGAAACAGAGAAGATGGACAACGCTCTGTCAATACATATAAGGCTATAAATAGTTTTATTCCTCAACCATGACTGCAATGTAACAAAAATAAGACTTTAAAGTAAGAATGTTAAGAATAAGCAACCAAAGTGCCATACACAAAACCCAAATGCTTGCATGCAGAACTGACAAGAAAAACAATCTCCAAGATGAGGGCCAGTGAAGAACACAGATCTCTCAGGATATACCTGAACATTCAGTACAGAACACAGAGCGGAAGGAAAACCAATGCCAAATCCCGCATCCACACAGTGCCTATCAGCAGGGTCTCCAGGAACCAGGATCTCTCTGGTTCAGTCTCTGCATCAGTTTGACACGAACATGCTGTTCTCCTGTTGCATTGGGTCTCCAAGCCAATATTCAGGTGCTCAGCTTTGCGGTAGCTGGGGTGAGCTGATACAGAAGCATCACAGCCTGCATGCCTGTTTCTACCCCTTCTCCAAAATACGAAGCCACTGGTATTTTTCCAGCCATCATTCTCCCTCAAGTGCCATGAGAGAAGGCAGAAAGCCAGGCAAAAAGGAACCTTACTCTAGAGTGAACTCTTGCCCCTGCAGCCACGAATGAAGTCCTGCATTTGGTTTTGCACCCCACCTAAACCTCCTTCCCACTTCACAGTCACCTACGTAAGATGCAGCGGCAACCCAGGAGGCTAGATGGGACCTCCCGCCCCTGGCTGCGGTATCGGAGGCAGGCGCCTCCATCCCCGTGTGCCACCTCTTCCCATCTTGCAAATGGCAGCATGGCTGGAGGAGCGTGAGGAGCATTCCCACAGGGTGGGAACGTGAGGGGCAGGTGACCACAGCCTCCCACGGGCTGAGAGGCCGACGCCGCTCAGCTCCTGCGTGTCGGCGAGGCCGAAGCAGGAGCAGGATGCGGAGCTTGGAGGCACCTGCTCCTCCTGGTGTCTGCACAAAGTGCCTCAAGTCCCTGCCGCAAAAAACAGGGAGGAACCGAAGCAAAATGCAGGGCCTTGGCAGGTAACTACCCACCCATAGTTCTGGTCCCCAAAGCAATGACTCAAGTTTAGCCCTGTATTTCTTAGCAAGGTATGAGAATTCGACTGCTGTTTACAACACACTGACTGCATCATTTGAGCACGGATCTTCGGGGGTTATATACAACAAGGCTCTGAGGCTCTGCAGCAGTCAAAAATGTTGGGGGAAAGTTGGTACAAACATCTACAGCATCTTCACAGAGAAGTTAAAAACAGAGAATTTTATTGGATTAAACAGGTCAAAATAAATAACAAGAGGTTGGGGCTTATTATTAAAATTAGCTAAGTTTATGTTCACTCCACATTTGAAGGTTTCTCAGTATGTAGATCATGTTTCAGAATTGCCAGAATCTCAGAAGAATGGGAGGAAGAACAATACTCTGGCATGATTCTAGCCATCAGCAAGCCATGGGAGACTTTTTTAAAAATACCACTAAAAATCTGCCTAGGAAAGGTAAGAGCTAGTCACAAACGCAGTGAATGACAGAATTCAATACTTGCCAACCTAAGAACATGTTAGATTCTTTTGGTGATGCTTTATGCTACAATAGGGATGTATTTTACCTAAACAGTAGGATCATACCCTTTTTTTTTGTTGTTGTTTAGAAATTTACTCAAGTGTTATGAAAGTATTTTTCAAATACTACAGCTGGAAACAACGCATGACAGAAACCACGTGCAGCCCTGTCACGAGAAAATGGCTATGACCAAGGTGTGGCGGACAATGGGGAGAGCACAGATTACCAGAAATATTACAGAACTGCTGTCATTAAAAATAGTAAAACATTAATAACATTACAGGAAATATTAAAAATACAGTAAACTTTGCAGTTCATGGATTCTGTAGGAAGGTTTAGTGTTGCATTAGTTGTTACTGAAAGTCAGGAACAGGGCGCTGACAGTACTGGCTGCTGCACCTACAGTGGCTCCGAACATACATTCCAAACGTATGTTCATACATCGAAAGAACATACATTTCAAATCCCAAATCCTGAGATTTGGCATTCGAGTAGTACTGGTCACTGAGATAGGTAACATTCAACTAGCACATGAACGGATTTATAAAACTCCCTGAAAAACTGCACAGGAATCAGTAGTGACTGCTAATGCTGGATAAATAAGAGAGATGTGCGTTGGCCTACGGTGCAGTGCTGACTGCCGGCTGAGATTTGACTTTGGAATTTGTGTCCCAAGGATTCCCAGTCTGTCTGTCCATCCATCCACCTGGCGATCAGCTTTAAGTCTAGACAGAACTGGTCCATCCTGGCCAGTTCTTGCCAGGTCTTCCGAACTGAAAGCTTTCCGAAACAGAAAAAATCTCTTTTTCACAGCAATAGTGTAAAGCACACCATGAACTCGTCATCTTTCATGAAAGCACATTAACGGAGTTCACAGAGGAAAAACACCTAAAACCTCATCAAGACAGCTACAGCTGCAAAGTTCATTTTCCTCTTCTGTTCCCCTCCCTCTTCCCTCCATAAGAAGGTTATTCTTTTTTTTTGTTTCCTTTTCTTTTTTTTTTTTTTTTGTCATTGAAGTCTTTAAAATAAGCAGATGCAATCAAGGAGAAATTTATTTTGAACCAATTCTGCAAAACAGTTCAACAATGCCATACTTTATAAAAATACTTAGTTACATAATTAAACTTATTACTATTTATATAAAAAAGGTGAATGTGAATTTTAATCTCTGTTAGGGGTAAGAACCACATCAAGGTCTTGAGGTGAAACACAAATAAATTCTCATAAACATACAATCTCTTTTGGAGAAGTTTTATAATACACAACCATTTACAATGAACACGTTCATTAAGTTAGTGTTTTATTTCATTACTATACAAGTGTTACTACAATGAACTGTTCCATTCAGTAATTAAAATCCAAATAATGCCAGTGTCATTTTCTGGCATTCTTTGTTATAGCTGTATTAATACATAAACTCACATGATTGTGTTATTCATTTTAAAATATTTAGAAAAATTAAAATTCCTTTTTTTTTTTTGGCTTTTTTTTTTTTTTATACATAAAGCCCTTGTAAAATTTGATAACCACAGACATACAGATGATAACGGATGAGGAGGGAAAATGGAATATGATGGCATTGTTCTTATAAAGATCCATTTGGTAGCTAGATTCAGTGTAGTGTAAACCCATGGAAAGTTGTTAGGTTTAGTACCGAAACTATAACCAACTTTTCTGAAATCTGCTAGTTGGATAGCTTTACAATGATAATACAAATTTCAACCCAACAGCTAAGTATGAGTTTAGTGTTTCAAAATCAAATTATACAAGCTTGATCAGAAATTCAAAAACCTCATGCAAATTGTTGGATAGAAGACATGATGTTATTGCTTGATATGTCAGTAGCTGAAGAAAATAAAATCTAGATGTTGTGTAAGCTGCGCTGAATGCCAACAAAAGTTCATTGTCACTATATTCGGTCAATATTAAATATATTTTATCCCTTTAGTTTCTATACTTTCACATTTTCTTCTGTTTACTTTTAGTTAAATAATTCTATGGGAAGGGCAAAAGTGGGAAGCGAAACTGTGTGTAAGAGTGTCTTAATAGTCAAGAGAAGCAAAAGTGCAATCAAATCCCTGAACTAGTGACAGTTTACATTTGTGGCACCCACCCTTATTAACAATATAAAAGCCACATATAACAGTACCAAATCTGTCTCTGAAAATGGGCTAAAAGTGGCCATTTACCAGCTTCAGTCTTGCTTTCTTGGTGAGCTTTGTTCAGGTAGTTTTCCCACACAAAAGCTCTTTGTAAGATTAGAGCTTAAAAGATTAAAGGATTTTCCCCCACCCCAATTTTATTACATAGTTTCAAGTTCAAATATCATCATACTTTATCAGCGTAACTTTATAAAATATTACCTCATTTTCTAGTTACCTTCATTATTCTTAATTAGCTATGCAGAAAGAAAAAAAAAAAGAAAAATCCCTCATGCTACTTTCCAGTTACATTAATAACACGTATTAAACACAGTGCATTATGCTCTCTAATTTCACTATTGAGGTCTACAATTTAGATCAAAGTTTGTCATATATTGTTCCAATTTCTCCTTTAACCTGCCTACCCTAATTAAGTCCATATAAGAGGAAGCTTAAAGATAAAGACTATGCATCAATAGGGTTGCATCACCTTTAAAAGAAAATACCCATGGAATTTTAGTGCAGGAAGTTTTACAGAACTGGAATAGAATTATTTGGTCCCATAAAGTTCCTCTGCTTTAAAATGTCCTACTCAGAGCCACTTGCAACTCCAGACAATTCCCTCTTAGTAGAATGATTACTAAATACCTGGAAAATAAATGATTTCAAACACTGGGTTTGCTGCTATTGTTCACACTAGCTCTTGTTTTACCACCCTGTATTTTTCAATAAGCTTCCTTTGGACCCTGAAATAAGTTGGGAAAAAGAAAAAACAAACAAACAGAATTCCATCATTGGTAATTATAACACTTCAAAAGTGGTTTTGTGCAACTGTATTATGAAATTCCAGTTTGCCATTAAAAGCATGCAAAGTAGCGAAGATTTTCTTTCCTTTGATTCCTTAAAGACATCAGGAATTCTTTGCAAGTCTTTTACATTTGGCAGATTTGTGTATGTTATACAGATTGTTGGCTTATAAATTGTCTCCAGGCTGGTACTGTGGTTCTGTAGCAGTAAAGTAGTCCTCCAGGAAAGACTGTATATATTCAAATGTTGGTCTCTCATCAGGGTCCTTCTTCCAACACAGTTTCATTAACTCGTGGAGAGACTCTGGACAGCCTTGTGGACAAGGCATCCTATATCCACGTTCCACCTGTTCCAGAACTTCCCGATTCACCATCCCTAAAACAAAAGCATTTTATCTTAATGACATTACCTGCAGTACAGTTTGCCATATTTTTTTTTAGAGGTTCTTTCTGAGGACACAATGCGGTTCGGACATGCACATGAAGCTGCCATGACAGTGCCTATAAGTATACTTCATACTGAATGAATTTAAAATATTTTCCCATTAAATACATTTTCTGAAAATTATTTCATTATTCCAACAGTTCCTCAATACCTGGTTCTTTGTCCATTTGTACACTTATTCTTATGTTTTGATACAGGTCATTTACCACTGTTTTGTGTACAAGGCACCTTTCCAGAAGAACAGACCCAAGTATATTCTTGTGCATTATTAATTCAATTCAAGGACCACTTAATTTGTATCTGCCCATGAAAGAGACAGTCTATATCTAACAGAAGTGTCTTAAAATTTGAGTCCCAAATGACAAAATGTCTAACAAAAGATGTGACATATGTTTTGTTTCAAAAACTGGTCTAGCATGTTCACTCGACAGATACTGCAAATTGGGAATATGTCAAAAATAAAAATTTTACAATCTGATAGCTAGCAAAACATAAATGATCTGAAATGACCTATCAGTCATGTTTACAAATGCGGAACACAGAGCACTTCAATTATACACTTGTTAATCTGTAACTAAAACAAGAAACTTTGTGAACACAAGAACCAGCAAAGCATGACTAAGTGTTGGTCTCTGCTTGTTGTCTGGGGACTCTGAATGAAGCTATAAATACAAAAGGAAGCTTCAAAAGCACGGAAGAAAAAACACTCCACTGATAAAAGAAAACATCTTAGATTTCCCCTTACCTGGATATGGCACTCTCCCTTTTGTTACCAGCTCTGTCAGTAGAATTCCAAACGACCACACATCTGACTTGATTGTAAACCGACCATACAACGCTGCCTCAGGAGCTGTCCATTTAATTGGAAATTTAGCTCCTAAAGACATTGGAAAGACAGATACTTAATTTTCTCTTGCTTATGTATCAGCTGCTTAACATTTCAGAATATTTTGAAGTAATGCTGCACTTAAATTTTTACATTATTGTTTTACTGAACCAAATTTGAGGTGACTTAGTGCCTTAATATTTCAAACTTAAAAGCATTAGGATAGTAACTACTGGCTACAATTTTTCTAAGTAGTTTAAAAAGGGAAATAATCTTCAGGATGTGATAAGCACCCTCTACAGACTCTCAGCCCTCTTCAAACACTAGCTCTTTTTTCCACCCCCCCAAAAAAAGAAAAAACTAAAAAATGTGTTTGAAAGAATGAGCAATCTGCCAAATAATTTTGAAAAGTAGAAACTACAAAAACTGAACTTGCACAACTATGATGGTACACTTATATACATATTTTTTATCGCGGAGACAGAACACATGGAGAAATTGTACTAAATGTGACAACTCATCAGAACTTCAAGGCACCTGGATTTATTTATTCAGTCTTACCTTGTCTTGCAGTGTACTCATTGTCCTCTATTAGCCGTGCTAAACCAAAGTCTGCTATTTTACACACAAGATTGTCTCCTACAAGAATGTTAGCTGCCCGGAGATCCCTGTGGATGTAGTTCATTCTTTCAATGTAAGCCATGCCATCAGCAATCTTAAAAATAAAGTTTTATTAAGAATTACTTTGAGAACTATATTAACTTCTTCAAAGCATTACTGTATGTCCTTTTATTTTAGTTCCACTCCCATTACACTAGCATGGGAAGTATTACAAAGCAAGACCTTATGAACACCTACTGGCTATAGGAATCTGGTTACAGTATTTGCTAATTTGGTCCTAGATAGTTTTCTTTGACAACTTACAAATCTACCACAGATGATATATAGAAAAGTAAGCAATAGCTACAATATCCAATAATTATGCTAAGTTTATATCTGATATACTTTCAAATCTCTTGTCTAAAAACAAAATACATATTTTTGGTTTATAAAATGTACCTGTGCAGCCATGTCAACCAGTTGGGGGAGTTTTAAGTACTTCCCTTCCCCTTCTTTTAGGAAGTCTAGCAAGCTGCCTGTAAAAAAATAACACAAACATTTGGGGAAAACATGGTAAAAATCATGAACTTGATCTAGACATGATGATTTACACATTCAGCTTCCAAACTCTGTTTGGAAATGCTCATTTACTAACTTACAACCCAAACAATGCTTATAATTGACTCTATCCTTATTTTTAAGGAAAATATAAAGAGTGAATAAAGAATGAATAAAGAGAATTAATCAACCTTTCAAAACTATAGAAATGAGTGTGATTGTGAGGGAAAAAGAAAACCTAAGTTGTAGATTTTGCAATGGAATTTATTGCAGCAGTCATGAATTGGGTCTCTAGTATGTTTTCAGTCATTTGCTGTATTTTTTTTCCATCAAAAATACAAGTGTGACAGGTCAGCCCCATGCTGCGGCTGCTGTTTATCTGGGGACTTGGCACAGACTTTTCTCCATCTCAGATCAAAAAAAAGGAAAAAAAAACCTCTTGGAAGATTAACAGGAATGAAACAGATGTGCAAAAATCCCATGGTCTAAATCCAAACTGCTTCAAGTAGGTCAAGTGTTGCTCATTTTAATTTAATCAAAATTACCATTTATACTCCAGTCAGTTTAAACCTAATGTTAATTAAACATTTACTTTGTTGCTGATATTTTAAACAAACTTTTAAATTCAGTATGGAAGAAGTTATTCAGTCACACACCTTTTGTCATGAATTCAGTGACTATGTAGATTGGCTCCTCAGAAACAACAGCATACAGGGGTACAAGCTTGTCGTGTCGTAATTTCTTCATGATCTGTGCCTCCTGCAGGAAAGCTTCTGGCATCATGGTACCAGGTTTTAGTGTCTTGATTGCTACTTTTGTGGTTCCATTCCATGTTCCTGGAGAATCCAATTATATTTTATTCTCTGTTAGAACGCTGAAGAGTGTTTCTGACTGAAATCATTTGCTTTAGGCTTCTGCTTTGACAGCTAATAATTATAAATTAGTAACTATATTGAAAATTACTTTAAATTCACATGATTGATCACAATTACTTTTCCCTTCTATTCTTTATCAAACTATCTCTTCAGACTTTAATACTGATTTGCCTAAAATGTTATTAAAACAATCTACAAACAACTGAGAAGTGCTACCCTTACCCATCCACACTTCACCAAAGCATCCTTGGCCCAACTTCACCTCTAGCCTCAAAGATTCTCTGGGAATTTCCCAGGCATCTTTTGCTAGTCCCTGGGTTTGTGGTTTCACAGTTGGACACACAGTTGTCAGCTTATGGCACAGCCCATCAGCGTGTTCTGGAAAATGGAGAATCAAGTTTTGTAGACAGATGGAATAAAAGTATAATAAAAGGAACATGTTAATGTTGATAAAAGAACTATTTAATGTATTGTTTGTCAAAGTCAAAAAGCAATTTTTATAACAGTGAATTAAAAAAAAAAAAAGCTACATATGCAATTTTTCATCCACCTGCAGAGAAATACTGGATCACTGGAATTTCGGCTTACCTCTGTAGTGCTTTACCAACTTCTGCAGTGATTCAAATTGTGCTCTGGTTGTGATATAGTATCCACCATTATCAAGTTTTCTGATTTTGTAGTGTTTCACATTGTCACCTCTGACCTCATCCCAGTCACGTATGGAAAGGGAATAAGCACCTAAAAAAAATTTTTTTTTGGTAAAGAACCAAATAGAAAAGCATATTTAATAAATATTCCATTTAATTAAATAGAATTAATAAATTCCATAATAATAAATGGAGTTTTATTAAACAAACATTTAATAAATGTCTTATCACACATATACACATGTATAGGTGTAAGGTAATAGACCTAAAAATGGCCACTATATTTGGGAGGCCAGGGCAACAGGGGGAGAGGAGGGAAGGAAATACGCAGAAATATACCTACCTTTAGTGGTTTCACTCTCTCTTACTAAGAAAATACCACGCTGGTTCCCAGGATTTAGAAGTAGCCTTTCTGCATCCTTCCTGCCCATCTTACCAAAATACCATCTAGAAAAAGTTAAAGGAAATATCTGTAAATAAAGATAAGCTTATGTAAACAGATAAAGAAATAAAAAAAGATATTTTTATGCAACCTTTATGCAACCTGTGCTATTGCCAGGCTGTCATCAATGTGGGTTTTTTTGACTTATGTCCAGTTAGAATCTCCCCGTCAGCCTTACAGCCATCATCTCTTCTTTCACAAATGAAATTTCTTCTCCTGTACTCCCAAAGCATGCTCATCCTCAGAAAGTTTTGTCCTCCAAAGTTTTGTCCTGGGCCAGGGGCAATTTGAGCATTCAGCTCCCAGTGAATCTTCAGGCTTTGGAATAACCCTTACTTCTAATCATATTTTATTGGGACAGGGCGCCTCAGAAATCGTAAAATGAAGCAAAGTGTAAATTTCAAATATTTTAATTTGGGATTGTTGTAGTACTGAGGAAATTTGGCACTGTAGGTGTAGGGGGAGAAAAAAAACAGTATCAGAAACTACTGCAAAATAACAGTTGTGACAGAAACGTTTTGTGTGACAAAAAAAGAAAAGCAGGTAAGAAAGGATCATTTTGCTGGCATGTGATCAGAATGACCTATGGAGTCATTCAGAAATATCAAACTTACTTTTTATATTTTCTCATGCTTGCAGTTTGACCATTGAAGTAGATGTGTAAAGTCAGAATGAGCTATGGGAGTATGTATGTTTAGGGCAATTTAGATGTAACCTATAATTTTACTGCTGCAAACTTCCACCCCAGCAATCACTTCACATGAAAATGCCACTTCCCTAGACCACGATGGCTATTTACAAATTATGGTGTAAAGTGTTATTTTATTTTACTACCTACAAAGTAATAGAAGGGTTTATTTGTCCTTTTATGAGTGTTCAGTATTTGTAATTTCACAGCATTCAAAAGCCATATGGATAATACGGATCCTGTTGTAAGCAGCTTGTGATATAAAGGTCTTCAGGCTTAGAAAAGACCACTCAAGAAAGATAATCCTAACAATTTGGTGGCTGCATATTGCTTTCACTCTTGTAATTCCAGCAACAATAACAAAACAAAAATCTATAAATGCTATCAAAGCCAAGGACTAACAAGTGAACTTTAAAGTAAACAAAATCTATTCCAAGTGCTGTGGTAACACTTAATAAAATTAGCACTAGTTTTTAAAATATTCCAATTGAAAAACAAATCCTCCCTTGCTGCCTGTGGTGACTCCTTCCCTGCCCACAACCTGACCTCTCCATAAAGAGCACACAACCAGGTGCCTCTTGAGCACGAGCCAGCTGAAATCTGCCCTGGACATGGACAGGAGCACGAGACAGGCATCTCCCCCCCGGAAACGGGTGCAGCCCGGAGCCTACGGAGCTCTCCAGCACGGCAGGCTGCACTGCAGAAACAAGTCGTGATCAGGGACATTTCCCAGGCTTCCTGCTGGAGGTTGGGAGACTCCTACCTGCGACACATCCTCAGGAAGTGACTAAGAGCGTGCTGAAAATCCACACAACTTCGCACAACTTTGCCAAGTTGTATGTGATCCACTGTGCACGTGCCCCTTTAGACACTGACTGCAGACCATGTCTGAGACTGGGACGGGATCCAGCTGACGTCGGGGTCCCCTGGGGAGGGTTTTGGAAAGCAAGGGGGTCCATCCTGAACCTGGCTTCTCCACCTCCTTGACACTTTCACCTGACCCTGTCTTCCACACTGTAAATAACTGAGTGAACCTTCCCCATCAAACCTTCTTAAATCACTTTCTTACGACTGACCTCTGTTAAATCACTAGCTTACCTCAATGGAATGAGTTGCTGCTTCTCCTTTCCAGTGAAGTGCATCACTCCTCACTTACTCACAACAGTCCCACCCCCAGCCATCACATAAACCTGTGTCAAATCCTCCCTCCCTGCTTTTTGCAATATTCTGGAGCAGTATTTTCCCTCTGGAAACACTTTATTCTTAGCTAGCAAATGGACTATGCTTTCTACTAGTGCCACCTGTACAGCTCTAATAGCAGCAAAATATTAAAAATAATATTTAAAATTACCACATAGTTTAAAAATCTCAATTTTTTGGCTAACAAATCATGATTTTAAAAATAACTGAAACTCTGGGACATCAAGCAACCCTGTGACTTTGACATAATCACTTTTCAATAGCAAAGAGGCAGGTGAGAGCAGCAGTAACATGCTAAAATCTCAGCTTGAGATTCAGGAAACATCTTGGAAATTGGGCTGTTTTCCCAGAAGTGCAGTAGGAAACAGAGAAGGGGCCAGATCACATGTCAGGGAATCACTTACTGGCAGTACTGGCAGCTCATATACTGAGCAGTGAAGTTTTATAGTTTCTAGTACAATAAATGCAATTAATCCCTTGAAACAAGTACTCCTAAGATTGCACATCAACTCGTAATTCCCAAAATATTCCCATGCAATTTTTAAGTGCTCTAGGAATAAAGGAATGTTGAATGTGCTGGGACTGCAAGCAATGTTATTTCCTCAAGTCAAAACAGTCCATTGCATTTTGTATTGAAAAGGTATTTGGGGCTGATAACTTAGCAGTAACTGCCCATTTAAATGTTTTTTTCAGAATGTGAGACTAGAGGCTATTAAGAATAGAGCTGACCTTGAATGAGAATTCACCAGGCAAAAAAATAAATATAAAAACCTGGAGCTGAGGGTATGTGGTCTCTTGACAGAAAAACACATTTTTGTCTTTAGCCCTACACCTAGCAAACAGACATATGACATTTACTTGAGTATCCACCTCACATCTTCCAATAATTATACATTTGGCACCATTCAAATAGCATTTCTATCACTGAATTAGTAGCATTAACCTCCTTCTTCATTAAATATGACATGTAGTGACACCACCACCATAGGACTGTAAGTGCAGAATGGATAACAAGAACAGAGTGACAGGAAACTGAATGTGCCTTACTCTTCTGCTTGAATGGAGTCTGCAGGAGCTACATAATTGCTTGGGATGTAGCCTGTTTTTCCTGTAGCAATGGATCGTGCTTCCCACCAGTCTCCTTCCCTGCAATGCAATATCAATTATCTCTTCAACATATAATCAACACATAATTCCCTAAAATGTGAAATTTCACATATGAAAGCAGGTTAGACTTTAGATAACATTTTACCTTAATTAAGAAGGCATACAAAATTATTTGCACTGCTCTGGAATTTATTTCATTTTTTATTGCAAACTACGTGAATGCTTCTTACTGGAATTTTATAATTTAATTTTTCTAAATATAAAAAGCAGCATTTATCTATATATGCAAAACACTAATCTATAACAAGTAGTTTCATGGCAGAGCTGTAAACAGATTCACAGTATCCAGCCTTAATCTGCCTTAGATCACTCTGCCTGTAAGCTGACAGTGAGCAACAAGGCAAAGAGAAGTCAGCTAATAAAACTGGACAAGTGCACGAATGCAAACTATTGCATGCGTGAATTGGAACTGTGACCTCAGCCAAACGCAGCGTGTAAAGAAAACTCCAAGGTGAACAAATAATTTTATCTTTAATAGGCTTTTAGAAATCTGATCATAACGCTGTAACATTACTGCAATTAAGCTGGAATACCAAACTGTGGAGATAACCTAGGGTGGATTTACAAAGGAGCCTGGCAAGATCCACTTGGCCTGGAGCCAAGGTGCTCAACTCCTGCATCCCCAGGGCAGGTTTTTCCCCATTCCCCTCAGTCTACCCATAAGAGAGAATCTGTAACATGCAGAGTCTGGAGCAACATGACTTTCCACCTCTGCTGCCAGAAAAGGGATAACTGTGCCTCATTATAGGAGGAACTAAAGGATATAACTCTATTGACGAAGGAGAAGAGGGCTCTGGGCTTTTCCAAGTTAATGTCTTATCAGTATCAGTATTTTAACCCCTCATTTGTTGAAATCCCTTATTCGAATAAAAAAAATCTGTTTACTCTTCACTGAAAAAAGTTTTAAAGAAACGCTAGGTTAGTATTTATTCCCCTGAACATCCTAGCAAAGTCTGAGTGACAAAACTTACGTGTTGTTAATGATCTGGAACCGTTCACCTTTCTTAAATGAAAGGTCATCTGTAGTTCTAGCTTCATAATCATATAAGGCCACAAATACAGTAACACCACCTTAGGAAAAAAAGAAAAAAAGAGCACTTACGATTATTATGTTAGAGCAACAATGATTTTGATTTAAGGACTAGCCCATAAAAACAACTCATCAAATTTGACCGGGAAGTAAATCAACACTTGGGGTTCCATCTCACTGTAGAAGCTGGATCAATAACCACCTAATTTCTTCGGGTAGAGGATAGTCTACAAACAGATACGCCTGAAAAAAAGATCATCTTCAACCCCCCAAAAAGGCAGCTAGATTCATCACTGGAATTATATTAATACTTATTAATAGAGTACTTATACAACAAAATCTGCACAATGCATTAACACTTAAGCCAATTTATTTTTAATAAATGCAATCCTAGAAGAGCTTACAATACTCTGAAATCATCGTATAAAGCTACCAAGTACAAACTTCTACAAAATAATTTCCTTGTCAAACTGCTCTACAAAATAACTGATATGTTCCCAACGGGATTACACATCAAGCAACGAAACTAAAACCTGAAGTAAAGGGTAAGGGACAAAAACATTAACCCTAGAGCAGTGAAATGTCTTTTTAATTTCATCCAATCTCCCAACCAGTGAAGCAGACTTTTGCTGAGGATGATCCATAACTGTATTACTGTAGAGACTGATATCTAGAAATTCTTCCTAGAGTGAGCATTCCAACTCCAGCAGCTCTTGGGAATTTGCTTCCCCTGCCCCTCTTCTGGTGCACAGCACGTTGCTGCCTGCCCCTTGAACAACACGCAAGTGTGAGAGGATGATGCAAATAAAGACTCTTTTATTTACTGTACAGAAACATTTTCTCACCTTTAAAGAACTAGTCTATAAAACTGGACTAAAGGAGGAGCGGGAGGGCAAGGAGAGCAGGATATATGACACATACTAGGCAACAATAACTATGTACCATAACTAACAAATTTAAAATAGATAAAATGCTCGTGAACCATTCAGACAGACTTCCCAAGATCTAGAAAAGCAGTTTCACAGTCAATGGGAGTTTAGGAAGCTTAATGATAGACCAAACAGTAAAATAATATATTTTCAAGAGTATAATATTATGTTTCTAACATGCATATATATGTACATAACACACATGGAAGACCACCTATAGAAATGTATTATTTCTGTCTTTAGATGTTACAATTAACATGTCCAACAGTGCAATGGATATGCAAAGGACATTTTCTACTTCTAATGTTACTATTTTACTATGGATGCTTTCTGACAGAGAAGTTCCAAGTCATTTAAATATTTTCATTTGATTAAAAGCCTTCCTGTGATCACATTATCTCAGCAGGGCAAACCTGGAAATGATTTACAGTTCATGTAGGAAAAACAGAACAAAAAACTCCTCATAAGATGTTAAGAGCAGGTGGTTTTCTTAGCATGTGATTTACACATTAAGAACTAGTTAGAATATCCCCCAGAAGTTAACACCTAATCTAAGCCAAAAATTAACACAGTTACATAACTTCCCCTGTGTTTATTATTATTTGCATTATTATTTTGATGACACAAGTTGCTGTATGCAGAAAAAAAATGCGGGGTAATATTCCATATTCATACAAACAGAAACCAAATGTTTAGGGAAATAAACCACCTCCACACAACTCTTCAGCAGATGAAGAAAATCAATACCCCGAAGTCACAATATTGCTTGTTTATAAAGCACTGAGAGACTCCACTTTAATACCCTATATGTAGAAAGATATTAATTCAGCATCAGAACAAGTATTAATTCTCTTAAACAGCATAACACTAGTCAGAAAAATGAAAGAATGGATTCAAATAAAATCCATGCAACAAGAGGTATTATTTGTGCTCTTTTCATTATTTAAGAACATCAAAAAGGCTAGTATATAATCCTTGTAAAGTTGTTTCAATTTCAACATTTCAGCTAAGAAAATTTATTTTACTCACACTCACAAGTGTAGTTTATTTTACAGCAAAAAAAATAATAGATTTCAGGATAACAGCATCAATGCAGAGTATTTCAAACAGATACATTTCAAATGCTCCTCAAAGGCTCTCACCACTGTCACCTTTGTGGCTCATTCTGAGGTGATCTAGTATTTAATGCTGTTTATGGATCTAGCATGTCACTTAAAGGCTATCCTTTGATTAGTGCCTAATTTTCTTCTAATCTGGAAATGGTTTTGTAGAAAGCAACAAGTTTTCTTGTTCAGCGTGTGGATGGCAGAACACTAGGAGCCTTACGGAAAGGCAGAATAATGACAACCACTTTTTCTGTTTCATTTTCACTAATACTCTATGAGTTCAAAGTGTTTGGTGACCGAGAATGTATAACATAGGGGCTAGTGTGTCTTACACAGATTTCTCCTCTTTTTCTTCTCTAATAGAATAAAGACGGCCCAGCTCTCTTCAAACTTACAGCTACAGGCTATGATGACAACCGTATCATCCTTCTGTCAGGCATCACTGATGGACTCGTTTAAGTACTACTGACACTTACGTCCCTCTGTTTGACAAGCCCATCTATTCTTGCTCTTCCTAAGCAAAAGGCCACGGAACAGGATCCACTATTCTATTTGTCACGGTTACAGAGGGCTTATCCCTGCACAAAGACAGCTGTGGTGTGCACGATGCCTCTGTAAACAAATTATACATCAAGATTTACTCTGGTTCATAATATGACAAGAACAGACAAGCCTGGAAGTCCCAGTTCGCTGTCATGAGTTGTATGACACCTACCTGCAGTTTTGATGACTTACAACCAGACAAAAGCTGTCATTTTATTTATTCACAAAAACAGCCAACTTGGATCTAAAAAATGGAACTGCATTTACCCTAAATTGATCTTTTTTTTTTATATTAGGAAAAAAAAACCAAGAAAAAGGTGCATGGAGGGGCTTGGGGGACAGGACAGATTTTGCAAAGCAATGAGAAATGATTACGTTGGCAGCATCATTTTTACCAGATCATAAAAGGATGGGGCATTTACCCAAATCAACCTGAATCCACACAGTAGAAATTCAGGACTATCTTCCCATGAGAAATCTCTCCTGTTGATCCTGGTCCAAGATATACAACATGATTAATACTAACTGGCACGGGAACAGGCAAGAGAACCTCCTTTCTGGGCTCTGCAGCAAAAGATTTATGTTGTTTGGGGGCGGCATTCCTGGCGTCAGGAGATGCTCAGGAGGGCGGGAATTCTGATGTGAGCAAAGAGCCAGACCTGGTGGAAGGCCAATGCACTGAGGCCCCTGGTGGAAATGAAGACTTCTTTAAGCACACCAAAGTTCACTTACTAGTGCCAATGCATAAAAAGAAATGCTGCCGTTATTTCATTCCTGCACACGTTATTCCAAAACTGGGATTCAGAGCTGGCTTAAAAAAATCTGACACAAGATAGATGCTCATTTTAATTATCTGTTTTTTAATGGATTCCCATAAGGGAACAGGAGGTGAACATTATCTGACTGTTCATATTTGGTTTCCAGATCTGCTTAATGTCAGGGCCATCAGGGTTTTCACGGATCTCAAATTTCTCGTGTTTTAAAGCTTTTAAATGCCACAGTACTAAGCAAACATTTAAAAACTGTAATTGTGCTAACATTCAAGCTCTGTGGCAAAACTAAAAATAGACTAACAAAGAATTATTTATGGTATTTTGGGAAGTGTCCCTGCATAGTTTCTAGAAAAAAAACACTCTTTCCTTGCAAAAGAACAATGAAAAAAAAAGAAAAAAAGTGAAACTGTATGCACACACACAAATGCTAACTACTGAGATTAGCCATGGGCACAAAATCAAAACTTAAAAAAAAAAAAAAAAAAAAAGGTATTAAGATTTTTATATAAAGGGAGAGGGGTCTACACATGAAATATATGTCACTGCTTTAAAATGTTTGCACATTGCAATAGTTTTACATTTTAACATTTTCAGCTTCAGATTTCATATGACCACGAGCATGAGATTTCTGCTTTCTTATTTCATACATATTGTTCATATAGTATTCAGCACACACCGCATATCCTTATCTTTATGGACAGAATCATTATTGCACTAATATAAGTAGCTTATAGCTAATCAAATAAGTTTGAGAATTAAATTACCAATTTCCTGAAATTCAAGATTCTTCTCATTTTGTACCTTTCTCCAAAAGTTTAAAGCCATTACTCCATGTGTGTCTCTAACAGCTTAGAATTTCTAACATGGTTTTAGCATTTATTCCCATTTCTGCATTTAATGTTAATGCCAAATTTCTTTGTGCTCTGATCTTAACCCCCTCCTCAACACCAAATACATTAAAAACAAACAAACAAAGAACAGATAGAAAACTCCCAACCCCCCAAATGATGGGTATGGTCTGAATTACTATCTGAGTAGTTAAGATTTCTGAGAAACAGAAATCCCTTAAGAGCAATTTATTTCAAATATATACTTTATTTCTGGATGGGAAGCTATTATTATTTCTTGAAGATGAATGTCAAGCTTACAGGTAAGTTAAAATGATGTAATACTCACCCGTTAAAGTACTAGGATATGGAGTTGGCACAGCTGAAAATGAAGATGATGCTCCTCCAAATGGTGTCATTCCTGAGGGTCCTCCAAAAGGAGTCATGGAATGACTATTAAAATTAACTGTTGATCCCTTTATTGCGGGTGATTGTGTTGCTTGGCTTGAGTCTGATCCATAATGGCTGGTATGGGAACTAACAGGTTCTGGAGTATTATCAGTCCTGTATTTCATGGCTGGACCTTTGTCTTCTTTGCTTTTAATGCACCCCATGGTCGCTTCTGTGAAAGAAAGAAAAAAAAAGGAAATTGATCTTTATGTTGCTTCTTCTAACAGGAAACACAGAAGACACACAAGAAGTTCTCATAAATATTGATTTATCACTTGGAAAAAAAAACAATAAAAATAATTATAATCCCCAGGAATTGTTACTACATGTAGATAACACATTCTGGAAGAACTAGTAGCACATTAAGATTAGTCTTCATATAATTCCTTGGCGGGCTACAGAAGGTAAGAAGATAAGGGAGACAGACAGACAACAAGCAAGGCAAGGAACTGTGACACTGAAGACTTGAATAGAAAGGGAGAATAGAAAGATTCGGACTTTTGAGCAGAGGTATCAGAGTGATCTGATACAGTTATATAAGAAAATAAGTGGGAAATCTCAATTTCATTTTTTAAGCACCTGTGCAAGGAGGTTCTGATCTGCTGATTATTACATCAGATTGTTACAACTAAGGATAGCTTTAAAAAAATAGGTATGTGTTCATTCACTTCCCCCCACACACCTTAACAGCTCACACAATTGAACCTGTAATATTCACTGCCATGGGACAGGACCAAGCAAGAGTTTAAGCAAAATGATAACCGAAAAAAAAAACAGAGACAAGAGTAACCATCCATCCATAGTTTAGAAAGAAAACTGCAGCCTGACAGGTGACAATTTTCTAGCATTAAGTGCTCAAGACTACCTCAAACTTCTACTGCAAGCAGACTGTTCCTGTGGGAATAGCTGTTTACTGTGGGGATAGCTGGTACCTGGGGACAGCTCTGAGACAGGAGACATGCCACAAACAATTTACTGCTGCCTAAGAAGTCCCCATCTGCCATTTGTCAGGTGGTGACAACTGATGGCAGCATCTTCTGACTTACGCCCACTGGGACACAAATGAGGGAGGAAACGGGAGTCCATACCAGATGCAATGCTAATCTCGCATGAAAACTCCTGTCTTTCCGAAATAAAAATCTACTTTAACTTCAAAAGCCCAGAAACTTCCACAAAAAGAGGAAACGACTGTTCTACATTATTTTTACCTGATTTGTTACAGAAATGGCAGCAATTTGAATGCATTAAAATATGTCTTTTTAAACTGCAATGACAGTTTTTACAGATGTTTAACTAACAATGTAGGACAAACAATTAGGAAAAGTTTGTCATTGTATGCCCATTTTTTTTTTCCATTTCAATTCTCTCTTACATTGTTGGCTAAGAGAAACAAGCATCCAGAATAAAAAAATCTTACTAAACAAATCCTAATATTTTTACACTGGGACAAAACACACTTCTTAATCTAAAACGGTCTTCTGATTTCCTCTATATAAATAACCATTATAATATTAATGTTGCTGTCTGAAGTTTACTGATCATAAGTCGAGAACCCTCGCCCTACACCCCGTCCCTGACAGGGCGCAGCGCTGTGGACAGAGCGCGGTGCAGGAATGAGCAGTGGTTTCCTCCAAGAGGATTCCCATTAGCAGGATTCCCATCACCTTTGTGAAAACACATTTGCTAGCAGCACTGATGCCAGGCAACTTACTTAGCCTTGGTTGGAATTTAAGCCTAATATGTGATTCAGAAGTCCAACATACTATGCTGGCTAATAAAGTAGATTACAAGGAGAAGGTATGAAAGGTGTTTAATACAGCACTGACCACAGTTCATTTCTCCCCAGCCCACCCGTATCATTTCTGGCATTTGGTTAGCTTTTAACAGACAGGTAAGACTCCAAGATTATGGAAGATGGGAGCAAAGTTATCAATCCTGGCGATGCTGCCCATGGAATTGCCCCTTTGAGCAAGTGGACACCGTGTCCCTGCTACCGCTTGCTGCCGCTTCCACTAGCATAGCGCAGAGGGGCTCACGTGTTTTCATACGCTCATAGCAAAATGTTCACTTTAACATTTAAACAAGCTTAACCAAAGACAAGACCTGACTGAAAACGTGCACTGTTTGAGGGAAACGCAGTCAACAGCCTCTTTCCCTGGCCTCTGCCCTTCCCTCCCACCTCATTGTTAACGTGATCTTGTAATCCTCATCCAGCTCTTGGAGATTAACAACACAGATCCAATCTGCACTTCAAAGACAGAGAAATAAACACACCAAAATCTAAAAGCCCTACTTTTACAACTGCACACCGACAAAAGATATATATATTTTTCAAAGGAAGCAAAACACTGCTTTTAAAAGTCAAAAACACGGATGGAAAATTCCTATAAAATCCTGTGCATGCTTTCACAAGGAGGATATATGGGAATCAGAGAGGGGTGTCAGAAGTAAACGGAGAGCAGGATGCAAGGGAAAAATTGACTGGCCACAGTACAGAAAAGAGAAAGACTTATTACGGTTTAGTCTTGCAATATATCACTGGATAAAGCACCTCCTCCCAACCAAACAGCTAGTATATAGTGTCAGATTTGGTTGTCTAGTACTTTATTTGTTATTAAAAATTTACTTTTCTGAAAAAGCTTACAACCAGTCTTGTCCTCCCCTCCTAATGCTTTTCCTGAAGCACTGACCTCTTTTCAGAGGCAGAGATACGGATAAGAAGTTTCTGTTTGCTCTGCCCATCCAGTCAAAGAAATGTGGACCAGGGTAAGTTATTCACAGTGCACTGGTCCCCTCCCAGTAGTTAAATCACTAAACAGCGGAGTAACTTGGGAATATCTTGTTCGTTCTCTGAAATGGAAAGTACTCAGTTCCTTCTGACTGCTCTAGGAGGCAGCCGTTACAGGAGGGTTCAGTGACCCACTTGAGCCTCAGCCGCGCGGTGACGTCTCCAAAAGGCCCTCGTCAGATGGGACTCAACTCTCTAAAACTCCTCAGACACGAGGAGGCCCCTAAGCCCTCTGCCAAACTGAGGGCTCCAAGAAAGTCAAAGCTGACACCTTTTCCTTCCTGGCTCAGTTTCATAGCAGATTATCATGAGGGAAAAACACTGCTCAGCAAAGATCTCCCAGCGTGGCTGATGTGGTTGTTGAGATCTTTCGTAATCCTGCTTTCGTTTCAACACAGATGTCCTACCAGTCTGAGAAAAATGATTGTTTTTCATGCAGAGGTACTGTATTTTGAGATAGAGAGTTTACTAGGAGTGTTGGTGGCCTTCTCTGCGCCAGGGACAAGTGCTGCAAGGGCCCTTGTTAAGGTTACTTTATGGTTGCATAAGTTCATCATCTGCTGGTTCCCCGGAAAACAAAGTTCTCCGAGCACGCCAAGGAAGTTCTACTGTTAAAGAAGTATGCTAGATGTTTCTCTGAAAGAGGCTATTGTAACCTGCACAATCTTTTACAACTAGCATTCTCAGAGCAAAGCAGCCTGCTGGGGCCTCAAAAAAGCTGAAACTATCTTTTTCCATAAGGGGGGGTTGCATCATCCAGACTGCGAGCACCACAGCCTCTGAAGAACAGAAGACCAGAAGCTAGAAGGGACTCATACAGAAGTGAAACAAGTAAAACCCTTAAAAAAAAAACTACAAAAATGAAGAAGAGTGAGGAGTTTCTTCTCATGGCCAGCTGGAGGTGTTCTTTTCATCCCTCCCATTTATAGTTAATCGTGTCCACTGCAGCATTCTTCAAACTGAACTTCAGTGACAACCTCACGTAGCAATAGCTCTACATGATCCAAGGACATTCCCCAAAGCATTCCCTTTTCAAACTCTAGACTAACCCATTACTAAACCATATAAGAACCAAATGCAATAGGTAGAAAAGATATATCAATAGGGACAAGAAAAGGACGTTTCTCCCCTCCTTTCAATTACAGAAACTGATCATGCAATGAAAAAAAGCACATAATTCAAGTTTCGGTAAGAAGAGTCAAATGAGTAAGACAAATCTTTCTTCAGAAGAATAAAGGAAGATGTTAAACATTAACACAATACAAACAGGGCTACATAGTAAAAAAAAAAAATAATAATAAAAATCAAACAACAATCCCCCATCACCACCACTATACGTACACACACAGGAATGCCCTTGGAGGTTTACCAATTGCTAATGAAAACATAAAATAAAGAGAAGTTTCTACTGTTAATTCATCTTTACTTCACAGTACTAGAAAAATAAAGGGCAAGAAAACAAGCATTGATAATGCAATGCAATAAAGGGCAAGAAAACAACCAGAGTCACATTTTAAAGTTATTAAAAATTCATGCAGTAATGAAGACAGGATATTTTGCACAAAGTTCACTAATGGATCCATTAGCTGACAGCTGACTATTTGCTTAAACAAGTGCAGGGCTGATTTTGTATGTCACTGGAGACATGCAACCTATGCTTGCTTTCTGTACAGCCAGGCAAACAATGCAAAGCATTTGTCAAGCAGGTGGCTTCAGATAGCAGTATTTAAGTCATTTGTTAGATGTCACATAGACTGCAAGAGAGGAAGAAACAAAGATAACCAGAAGGAGACTAACGATCCTTTTTGCCATTACTATGATATCCAACTATTTCTGTTCACCTTTTATGAACATCAATACCTCGATGAGAATTTTTTTTCTATGCAAAGTAATCCACCATGTACACAAAGGAAAATACACCGAAGAATGAGCAAAAGTGGTCTGTATTCTTCTACACACTATTCACATTTTTTAATTTGTAAATTCTGTGTTACTTTTGATGCAATTTATTTCTTATGAGCTGCTATAAATCAGTTTGCTTATTTTACTAAGAACCCATGAAATTTCTAAGAATGATGTTCTAGTGGATTCAGTCTTGCATTGTAAGATCTCACTATTGTTACGCAGTCGAAGTGCAGCTGACAATGACCTTGTGATGAAATAAGTGATGAAATTAAGAGCAAAGAGCGAAGATAAAGAATCATTAAAAATATTGAAGCAAGAATCTGGGTTATTAGAATTTGAGTGCTACCCATTAAACTTCACGTTAGCCATATGCTAAAATGTATTTAACACTAAAAAGCCATCCTCCTTTATCATTAACTAATGCAATTTGAAATTTTTGATCCTAATGTTTTTACAGACCAAACCCTGCTTTCAAC